CTGCTTTGAAATTCCTCATGACTCAGGTGCCAGCCCAGCTTGGAGACTGGAAGAAAGTAAGGAGTAATGGGAAATTTCGCTCTACAGAGCTTAGGGTGCTTATCCTGAGGGTGCAATGCAGAATCCTGATTCCCAGGTAGCCCCACACTTTTAATAAGGCCACGCTGCTCCTCAGGCCAAGGCCAGGTCTTCCCCTAGGTGGGGCCCTGGATCAGGATGGAAGCTGGGACTTTGCTTAGCTTCCATACACACCCTTCCTTGCAGCAGAACTCTTTCCAAGTTGAAGAGCAGGCAAGAGGGTGTTATCTGGCCCAGTTACATTTCTCTGCAAGTTGTTTGGGTGTTGAGAATTGGGCATTAGTGAAAAAGATGGGAAGATTTCATTACTGGTTTGCCCAAGTAGGAAGACCTGCCTCTAGGTTCTCTGCCCAAAGTCACAAACTGTGATGCTGGAAAGAGGATTTTGCTGCGGAAAGAAAACTCAGTATTGCTTTGTTTACTTACCAGCTTGGATTAGTGAAAAGAAAGGACTTGGTGTTGTCACTTACTTTGGGCCATGCCTTCAGCTTCTGAGCTTCACTTTTGTTATCTGTAAAGGAGGGAAAATGATAACTCCCTTACAGGGTGTTGTGAAAATTAAATAATATACTGCAGGTAACACCCACATATAGAAGGCAGTCAATAAACATATTTTAATAATACTTTTTATAGTGCTTCATAGTTCACCAAGTGGTAGACACCTCATTTGCCCTGGGAATGCTCTGAGCTTCCAGTCTGATTAATCCCTGTAAAAGGCAAAGCTTGGCTTTAGATCAGTAGAAGGGAGATCTCCAAGTGTTGTAAACCTTAGGTTCAGAAATTGGTTTTTGAGTGATCAGTGGTGTTTTAGGGGACTCCTGCAAAAACTTCTGCATAAGTTTGATCATTTCTACTGTTTGCCGTATGTAAAGAATGAAGGAGGGACTTTCTGAGAGCCAGGATATGTCAACATAACTGTAACCTAGTAACCCCTTAGCACCACTTTGCCATCTGTGTGGTCAGGATTTCATGTTCTACAGAGAGAGAGGTACTGGTGGAAATAAACTGGTTCCCCTTCTGGAAAGGGCAGAGTAATAGCTCTGAAAAGTGTTAAGTGAGCCAACTCTGTGCTTACACTTGTTAAAAGGTGGTGTCCTTTCCTCAGGCACTTTTGCTTTGCAAGGAAGGATCAAATGCAGCAGCTCTTATGTAATGTGAACCTCAAACCTTGGTATACTTTTATTTGGGAGTCTGAGGTAGGGACAAATAAATAACCATTGTGAAATAATTCATAATAAGTGGCCCAAGTTCCCATTTCATTGAGCCTCAGCAGCTCTTTTTTCTACTATACTGGTACATCAGTGCTTTTGTGACGTTTCCTCTTTAGTTCCAGAAGCAGTTTTAGGGAGATATCCCGTGGTCTTGAGCATCACATCCTGCCTTGAGCCTACCCACTAGTATTTTTTAAATCCTTTCTAAAATCCTTTCCAATAAAAAACACGTTTTAGTCTGAGGATATGCCAAAGTTGCCATTTTATATTTTTTGATACTGTAATTTTCTCTAGAATTTTGTGGATGGAAAAAATTATTTCAATACTTATATTCTGTACAATTTTATAATATTTAAATTACTGGTGGTTTGCATTTTTGAATGCTGACTTTATAAAAACAGTTAGCTCATTCCCCATCAATGCTACTTCTAATTACAGTGTGTAGCCAACCCCAAATGATCTCTCTTTCCATTCTGTGAGATTCTCTCCCTTCCTTCACAACTGATAAAGAGGAAGATAGAGGTTAATGGAGGAATCTAGACTCCCTTTTCAAGGAGGAAGGCAGCCAGGGCCATCCGGCTGATGGGCTCTTCGAAGTGGATGTCTATCTGGAATTTACTGACCTGCAGAGGAGAGCCAAGAGGTAGAAAGAGCAGAGGAGGCTGAATGGTCTTCAGTTATTTGAGTTTTCTACTGAAAGCAAACTACCTGCTTGGGCATTTCACTACATTTAAATATCAGGTGTGCATCAACAGCTTTTCAACTCAGGTTACATTTCCTGTGAACAGCCTTTTGTAGTTGATGTTCATTCTCCTCTAACTCCTCATCTAGAATTCGTCCCATTAGTCAGTAATATGTCTTGCTATAAAACCTGTGAGTTCAGTTAAGAGTGAGAGCATCATACTGTACAGAGAGCCCTTTCCCTCTTCTAAGGTTAATAGAATTACTTGTATGCAACATAAGGGCTGAGAGGAGTGAAATGGACCTACATGCATACCAGTTACTTTTATGCTTTGAGTATTTTAAGAAACACAAAACTGTCAAAACTGATCTGGTATCAAAGAACCCTGTTTCTTTGGCAAAAATTTGGTTTGAGATATGCAATGAGACCCTTTATAAATCTTATTGCAAAAAGAAGTTCCATTTAGGCTTATTACTAATAAACAGCAAGTTGATGCACTTATTATAGATATTATTAATACACTCACTTATGATTTAGTATAGTTAGATCAACAGCAATAAATAATGAAGCTAAAATATACTGCTTTAAATAGCTTCATAATACAGATTAGAGATGTTTGGTGATGGGCAGTATACCAGCTTTAGTTTAGAATTTTTGAGCATTATAATGCCATCTGAGGCTCTAGGACAGGTGTTGGCAAATATTTTTTGTAAACGGCTAGACTAAATAATTTGGGCTTTGTGGCTCTGTTGCAATTACTCATTTCTGACTATGTAGGGCAAAAGCAGACAAAGACAAAATGTAAGTGAATCAGCGTGACTGTGTTCCAATAAAACTTTATGGACACTGAAATTCGAATTACATGCAATTTTTATATGTCACACAATATTGTTCTTATGATTGTTTTCAACCATTTAAAAATTTAAAAACCACTCTTAGCTCATGGGCTGTACTAAAACAGACAGGGGTCCAGATTTGGCCCACACACTATACTTTGCTAAGTCCTGCTCTAGGTCTATATGTATTAACTTTTTCCAGCATTCCCTGGAAGCGGGACAAGGAGGCTTGATTTTGGTGAATAAATGAACCTTTTACCTTTTACTATTAACTAACTTTAAGAGACATCTGGGAGAAATGGTTAAAATTGTAAATTTTATGTTATATATATTTTACCACAATTTTAAAAAAAGATACATGTGGGGGGAAGTGCATGCACATACATTTAACTCTTTAATAAGACTTTAAAAAATGCTTTAAAAAGAAATTTAGTATGGTTCAGTGTGTACTATATAAAGAAAATAGTGCCTGCCTTGGAATTGGCCCATGGTTTGTTCAGCTATGCAGATGTTGCTTGGAACAAACCGTTGAGAGATCTGTTTCTCAGAGGAAAGCCTAGGCAGCAGGTGGCACCAGCCCTGAGAATTAGAAAAAGAGCCAGGAAAAAAAACAAACTTCTATCAGCCCTGAGAATTAGAAAAAGAGCCAGGAAAAAAACAAACTTCTATCATTTTCCGAAATAGTTGAATTTTATTTCCTTGGTTCTATTGTCATTTTAAAAGTGGCCTTTAAAAAACAACAATGTGCTTAGCATGGCTGATTATTTTGTTTTAATTAAAACATTTTTGAAAAAACAAAATTAAACATTTAAACATACCAAGATGATTGTGTTTGTACTGTGGAACAGTTAATGCAAAACACTTGAGTGAGGCCGGAAGTTTGGATCTGTAGCTTTTGTCTGAGGTTTTGCCTCCTGAATAAGGATAACAGAGGAGGAAGTAAATGTGTCCCTTGAAAAACCTACCTCTGAAGGTTCTGAAGTGAGATCTCCTCAAGCCCCTGATGCCACTTGGCAGGTTAGTTCCTGGCTAATTTACTGTGCGGTCCCTGAATGGGTGAGAGCAATGACTGACATTCTTTGAGAATCCAGCTGGAACCTGCAAATATTAGTCTGGAGGAGCAGCCCAAGGTCACTCTGTTTTTCCCTCTCTGTTGTCTTCAGTGTCTTCCTGTCAAGATGGCAGTGCTTCATCTGACCTCACCTCTGAGATATTATCCTGGATTCAGACTGAACAGGGGAAGGGAAGAGGCCATTGTACAAATGTCAGAAGGGTATTCATATTACTCAGAAAATAGCCACTCTACAGAAACTTGCCTTCTCCTCCTCTAAAGAGGTCTCCCTCTCGCCCCTTTTTAAATCTTCTTTCTAGGTAAACATCTCCCT